CATTCAACAGAGGACTGGCTAATGCTAGAGAAGTCCCCATCAAAGCAGCCTTAACATGACACTGCAGATTTACTTCTGGAGAGAGAGAGAAGCGAAAAGAGAGAGATTCCAGGCAACCAGCCTTTACAGAGTCCTATTTGCCTTAAGTAATTGATCTGAAACTGAAGCATTTGTCTCTAAAGGCTATCTGGGCTTCACAAATCCTCAAGGGACTTTGTCTTCCTCTAACTTTTCAGGGTTTAGCCAGGCTTTATTTGTTCCTGTTTGTTGTAAGAGGAAATGTGGGATTTTATAGCCCTGTGTCTACCCTTTGATATGGAAGACTGAATATAGCACACATGATCTAAATATTATGGAAAAACCCATTTTTGCCACTAATGCTTAAAAATTTTAATGATGATCTTCAATGGATTTAATTATCTAAATCTCATGGCTTATGCTGTTAGTCATGTTAATAATTCTAGGTAAAATGAAATGTATGAGTTGGTATACTTTTAAAGAATCAAGTATCAAGGAAAGAAAGACATTGCAAATGTTCACAATGTCATATGTGAGAAAATTTTTGGCTGACTTGGAAAATTTAAATCAATATATTGAGGAAGCAACTTAGTGAGTTATGTTTACATGGGAACCTGAAACTAGGATTTGAGTCAGTAAAATTTTTCCAAAGGGAATAGAAGAGTCTGAATCCTAGAAATTTTCCTGAATAATATGGCCCCATGTTGCAAGATTTGGATATTTATAACCCCAAATAAAAGGGATTTTGGAGGACAGTCTCTTCAGGTTTTTGCAGTTTTAAGACTCTGATTCCATTCCACAAAAACTGTAGGAAAACTTACTTTATCACTGCCTGACTGTTATAAAATGAATGCTTGTCCATGAGTTAGCTCATTAAAGATAATATATGAAAAAAGTACTGAGAAATACTGTATAAATCTCTACAAAACTCTCCTTTCATGAAACTTTGTTTTTTAGAAATGACACACTATAAAGAAATTAATTTTAATTTTCTGAATTCTAAAAATAGTATCAAGACAAGAATCGTCAGTGTACACACATGTGTAACTAGAGAGCCAGCGGAAGTTTGGTGGATATTAAGGATCTTTGGTGAAGTAATTTACTTACCTATTGATTTTTTGTGTTATTTTTGTAAGTACTTGTCTCACTAAGATTTAAAAGTATGTAATGTAAATATTTTAACATTTCAATGGCACGTGTTTGCTCCATAAAATTAATATATCATAGAAATCTATAGAGAAAGATGGGATCTTAGTGGTCATGTACTCTAAAGATTTGAATTATACCAGGTAAGGAAGCAGATCCATAAGTGACTTTCAGTTCAGTCACCCAGTCATGTCCGACACTTTGCGAACCCATGGACTGCAGCACGCCAGGCCTCGCTGTCCATCACCAACTCCTGGAGATTACTCAAACCCATGTCCATTGTGTCGGTAATGCCATCCAATCATCTCATTCTCTGTCGTCCCCTTCTTCTCCTGCCTTCAATCTTTCCCAGCATCAGGGTCTTTTCCAATGAGTCAGTTCTTCTCATCAGGTGGCCAAAGTATTGCAGTTTCAGCTTCAACATCAGTCCTTCCAATGAACATTCAGGACTGATTTCCTTTAGGATGGACTGGTTGGATCTCCTTGCTAAACAAGGGATTCTCAAGAGTTTTTTCTAGCACCAGACTTCAAAAGCATCAATTCTTTGCCTCTCAGCTTTCTTTATAGTCCAACTCTCACATCCATACATGACCACTGGAAAAACCATAACTTTGACTAGATGGACCTTTGTTGGCAAAGTAATGTCTCTGCTTTTTAATATGCTGTTTATGTTGGTCATAGCTTTTCTTCCAAGGAGCAAGCGTCTTTTAATATCACGGATGCAGTCACCACCTGGAGTGATTTTGAAGGCCAAAAAAATAGTCTCTCACTGTTTCTACTGTTTCCCCATGTATTTGCCATGAAGTGATGGGACCAGATGCCATGATCTTCATTTTCTGAATGTTGAGTTTTAAGCCAACTTTTTCACTCTCCTCTTTCACTTTCAGCAAGAGGCTTTTTAGTTCCTCTTCACTTTCTGCCATAAGGGTGGTGTCATCTGCATATCTGAGGTTATTGATATTTCTCCAGGCAATCTTGATTCCAGCTTGTGCTTCTTCAACCCCAGAGAGTTTCTCATGGTGTACTCTGCATATGAGTTAAATAAGCAGGGTGACAATATACAGCCTTGACGTACTCCTTTTCCTATCTGGAACCAGTCTGTTGTTCCATGTCCAGTTCTAACTGTTGCTTCCTGACCTGCATACAGATTTCTCAGGAGGCAGGTCAGGTGGTCTGTTATCCTCATCCCTTTCAGAATTACTTCTGCCCATACCTCCATGCATGAACTAGGGCATGAGACTAGGGCAAGAACTACAATATGATCACACCTAGTCTGGTACAGGTCCTCTTGTCTACACTGCACTAGCCTTATATCTAACTGAGTAGTTTTAAAACTTTGTAGATGTTTGATTGTAAATTAGTGTTTTACGTCTTTATATGATAACGTAATCAGAAACCATACAACACTCAGCTTCAGACATTCTCTCAGAATATAAGCCTTTTTTTTTTCTTGACCAGTGGAATTTTTTCTTCAATAAGGAATAAAGTAGAAAATCCTATGCTGTAATTCAAGGACATCACATTTCAAAAAATAGATTTAATTAAGTTGGAGACATTAGTTTACCTGTGCTGTGCTTAGTCATGTCTTTGTGACTTCCTTGAGCGTAGCCTGCCAGGCTCCTCCATCGGTGGGGTTCTCTAGGCAAGAATACTGGAGTGGGTTGCCATGCCCTCCTTCAGGGGATCTTCCCAACCTAGGGGATCAAACCCAGGTCTGCTGCATTGCAGTCAAATTCTCTTCTGTCTGAGCCACCAGGGAAGTCCAGTTTATCTGTGATTAAGTTTTAATTAATGCCCTTAACTTAGATCCCAGCCTCTGTAAAATAATCCTCTTAGCTTGGGCTCAGTCGTGTCTGACTCTTTGCAGTCCCATGGACTGTAGCCTACCAGGCTCCTCCGTCCATGGGATTTTACAGGCAAGAATACTGGAGTGGGTTGCCATTTCCTTCTCCAGGAGATCTTCCCGAGCTAGGGATTGAACACGGGTCTCCCGCATTATAGGCAGATGGTTTACCCTCTGCATCTCCAGACAAGATAAAGACCCACCAAAAAGACAAAGACTCAAATTAAATCAAAGAAGCTTTCCTTTAAAAATGATGTATGCACACAAACGCACATTATACATGAAACATACAATTTATGTCTTGAATTGTGACCCAAGTGGATTTTATAGTGAATACTGATAATGGATGCAAATTGAACAGCTTAATTCAATCAAATAAGTAATCTTAAGTAGAATTAGGATAACTCCCTTGTCCTATGTGGCAGAAATCTTTGTATATAACTCAATTCCTGCAAGTCAGTTGCTCAATATAGAAACAAATGCAAAGGATGAAACATCGAAATAATGAACAGAAGAGCAAAATATAAGGACAAAAACACTTTTTGAATAATAGAGCACCCTTTCTCCCAAAACATTATATGTTACGGAAAATCTGTATTGTCAGATTTAAAGGCTAAATTGCCCAATAGCTATTTTACTACTGTTTCATTAAAAACTTTTGTTTTGCACTTTTACAACTAGCAGAATTATTCCTATTAAAATGGTCTAACACACTCTAGTAGATCACTCATAATATGTGCTTTATTACCTGTTTTTGAAAAGCAACTTTCCTCTCCATTCAAATACTACTTTTTTCTGTAGAGAAAGTCATTTTATTCTCTAATCTACTCAAATTTGGTGAACCTGGCTGTCTTAAAAAAAAAAAGAAAAAGTATATCTTAAAGGCACTATTGTTATAATTAATGCTTAGGACAAGTGTGACAATGCAGACCTTAGGAACCAACAAGGCAGGATAAAAACATTGTTTTATCCTACAACATTTCCTCAGCTGTGTGTATGTATGTGTGCGTGCGCGCTCAAGTGTTGACTATTTGCGACACCATGGACTGTAGCCTGCCAGGCTGCTCTGTCCGTGGAATTTTCCAGGCAAGAATTCTGGAGCAGGTCGCGATTTCCTACTCCAGAGGATCTGCCCCCCATCAGGGATCAAACCCTGGGTCATCTCTTGAGTTTGCTAGGAGGTGGATTGTTCTTGGACTAAGTAACTCAGACAAGGATGGAGTTGGTCCTTAGCTAATAAAACAGGACTCGAGGCGACTCCTCTCCCCTCCCCCACTCATTTTCTAGGTCCCTTCCGCCGAAACCTCACAGCTTGTCTTCTGAACCCTGGAGTAGCAGATAGCTGACTCCTCCCTTCCAGTCTCCGGCGAGAAATCTCAACAACCAGTGCTTGAGACTCGGGGGCCTATTGTTGCCCACCTGCTCTGGGCGGGTCCTTTCCACCATTGGGAAGTCCGCGTGCTAGAGCGTTTGGATGAAGCTGGCGCACTTGGGTTTATTATACCCACAGGGATTCGGCTCCAAAAAGCTAGATTGACTCAATGTTTTGCATGCACGGTCCAGGCTCCCAGTACTCACTACAACGTAAACTTTGGAAGGGAGAGAGTTGTGTTGAGGAAGGGTACGGTGTAAAGGGGCTTAAAATGTGAGGATTTGTCTTCGTGTCCAGAGAAAGAGAGAGAGAGAAAAGTATGAGTACCAGAGTATCGTTATTTTATTCAACCTTTAAGAATTCCACTGGCATTATTAACCAACTAGCCGGGGAATCCAGGCTGGAGGCTAAAGGATCCCCGTCTATTGACTCAAATCAGAAGACCGGTCATAATCAGTCCACGACCACCTCTGGGGTCCCGATAGGTGCTGGCGCCCGGGATGGGTCTCTGCACCGCCAGGACCCCTCTGCCCGCTGGCTTCGCGGAGCGCTGGAGCATGCCCAGTAACAGCGCAGGAGCCACCGAGGGCTTTGCAGGCGCGCGCTCCGCTTCTCCGGGTTTTAGCAGGAGCCCGCGGGGGGCGGGCGGGGGTGAGGGGACCCGCGGAGCCGGGCAGCCTCCGCCGCGCGTGTGGGGAGCTCGCGCCAGGCGCAGTGCTCTCGGCCGCTTTGCAGTTGCTCCAGAGATGCTGGCGCGCGGCTCCCGGCTGCTCCACCTGGCGCGCTGAGCTCGGCGCGGGGCGCCCCCGGGGGCTGGCAGGGGGCGCAGACTGCGGTGGAAGGCGAGCCGGGCTCCTCCGGGACTGCGAGACCACGCTCCAGCGCTGGCCGCTCCACTAACTTGGCACTTGGCGGTGTCGGCTCTCCAAGGCCGTCTGCGCTTTGGGGTGGCGGGGTGGAGGTGGGGGGCGGGGGGAGTGGGGAGTTAGAGGGTCTGCGGTGGCCGAAGGAGGGATCCTGCAAGGGGGAGCTTGCCTGCTGCCGCTCCTCTTCCCCTCCCCATCGCTGCCCTCCCCCCACCCCGTCGCCGCCGCTTTGCCTTCCGCCAATTCGGAGAGCCTCGGGAGCCTGTGACATGCGATCCCTGCCAAGTGACGGTCCCCGAGTCTGAAGTGCCCGCGAGGAAGTGAGCGCCGCCGCGGGCCGCGGGCGATGACCGCCATGAAGCAGGAGCAACAGCCCACCCCGGGGGCCAGGGCGAGCCCGGCGCAGCCGGCGGACCAGGTGAGAGCTGGCAGCTGCGGCCAGGCCCTCCCAGGAAGGGAGGCTCCCGCCCCGCGGCCCCCGCCCCTCCTCCCGGGCTCGGCTCCCACGCCGCCTTCTCCCCATCCACCCCCGCCCCAGTTCCAGGCTCTCCTCAGCTCCTCCATGGACTCTGCAGGAAGTTAGAGCCTCCGAGTGCGCTCCGGGGCCGGGCGAGAGGATGCGCAAGGTGGAGAGCCGCGGGGAAGGGGGCCGCGAGGTAAAGGCTGGCGTGGCCTGGGCGAGCCCGCGGGCGGGCCCCCGACGGAGGGAGAGGTGGCCGGGGCCAAGAAACGGGGACCTCTTGGCTCCTACTGAGGCGCGTTGGAGGAATTGATGCTCTCCTGGAGGCTTCCACTTGCTGGGTTCGAACCCTGTTTTCACGTAGCTGAGACCAAAGCTTACCCGAGTAGGCAGATGACCTTTAGGCCATCAGAGTTTTTCCTTTCCTTTCTGTTTTCCTTTGAGGAGACCGGGACGGGGTGGCCGGGGGTTGGGGGGGGGAGCGCAAAATGGGGGAAGTGGGTGTACCACGCATCTGTTGTCTGCTTGGAACGGAGCTTGGAGCGAAAAGGCATGATTAGGTGGAACTGGGAAGATGCTGGCTTTAGTGATTTGTTGAGTCCAGATGTGTTGTTTCTGCAGAGAAGAGGAGGTGCGCTGTGCTGGCTGAGGGTAATTTTAGTCCGTTTTCTGTCTTTCCTCTCTGGCCACCCCGTTTTGTTTCGGTCTTTAGGAATCTGTAGCATAACCATACGGTGAATCTCTGTCTCGTCTCTGTCCCTGGGTTGGGGTGACTCGTGAGTTCGGTGTCGCCTTTTCCCAAAGTTGGAGGGTCGGGAGCGCCGAGCTGCCCTGGCCAAGAGGAGGGAGGCTGTGTGAGCCGGCAGGTGATGCTGTCACGATTACCCCTTTAGAGGGTCTGAACCAAGAGGGCTACACTTAGGTCTGCCGGTCACCACGGAGCTGGACGATGGAGGCGCCGGGGTCCAGAGGTGGTCTCTGTCCCGAGTGCGCTATTGAAGGTCTCTCAAAGCATTTCTGGCGGAGACACTTCGAGCTCCTTGCTAGAAGTGGACGAAGTGGGTGCAGACAGCGAGGCTACAGGAGGGCTCGGCTCTTCGCATATTCTAAGCGTTGAGGAGTTAGTGAAGGCGAGCTGTCGGCTCAGAGTGGCGGGAGGCGGAGGGGGCGACTCCAGGGCTGCCGTTATTAATATTCTAGTCCTGGTTGTCGCTCCTGGCTCGTGGCCTCTCTTTCGCCCTTCCCTCCCCTTCTCGTTTTGCTCACATATGTTTCACATAGGTGGCGAGGATTACTCAAAAGACTTAAAGCCCCCTCCCTTTACTGAGAGGGATGATACAGTTTTTATAAAGCAGTTGTTTTCTTAAACTATTCTTTTTGCTCCTTACCCTGAGAAAAGTATGAAAATATTAAAACATGTATATAACTTGTCCTTTCTCCTTGTATCTCTTTTCCCTGCTCCCTCCAGCACACATCACAAGGTAGCAACTGGTTAGCTGATTATAAAAATAATTTCAGGAGAGGAGCATGGATTTAACATCCTCTTTCAGGCTGACAGCTCTTAAATTTCATTAACAAGCCACTGAGCCTCTCTACTGCACTTGGAATGATACTACCAATAAGAATGATTAGTCAGGTGAGAGTCTCCACATGAAATCTTTACTCACTAATCTGTGACACCAGCTGGTTACTTGAGGCTCTGCAAACAGTTCAGTGATGGTGGAGGTGGGGAGGAAGAAGAAGAGGATACAGAAGCTGAAAATGTTTATGTAAATAGTGAACAAGCTGTATATCCACAGCAAAGCCTTCTGTCAGAACTAATCTGGTACTTAAAATTCACATGAAGACAGAGACTCAAGCTTGAATCCGTTGTTGGTGTGCGTTTTTGCTTATGCACACTTCGAATAGTCAGGGAGTGGCCATTTGTAGAAGTCTTGTTTTAATTGAGTTTTTTAAAGTGCCTTTCTGAGCACTGACATGATTTTACAATGTCAATGGTATGCATATTACACTTGAGTTAAAATGAAAGAGATTGATTTCTCAAGGGAAAGGAAAGGAAGACTGAAATATACATGGCAGCATCCCACTGGGAGTTTTCCAGGCAATCCCAGAAAATACCTATGTGTAGTCTATTCTTTGTCTAAAGCTTGACATACAAAATGATGAGCAGATGATGTGGACAATTTCTGTGATAGCTTAAACTATTTCTTTTAAGATTCTAGGTTTTTTATTAGTAGTATTAGTCATTGTGATTTAATTCTGCAGTTGTTAGGTAACTGTCATGTGGTCCTAGAGATAATACCTCCATATAGACAGGATCGATTGTTCAAATTTCTGCGATATTTCTGGGAAAAAAAACGGTTCACATATTTATCTAAAAATGTAGCTTTATGATATCCTATTTAATGGTTAAATAGGGGATGTGTTCCAGTAAGTCACTTGCTAGGTGTTGATTTTGAGTGATTTAAGTTTTTGAATATTGCCAGAAAGGCCTTTCACTTTTTGTGGTAGTGATTATTATGAAACCTCAAAGATGCCTTGTCCAGAGGCCATCAAACACCCATTTTCACCAACAGCATCATGGAAGACCAGAGTCTTTCTTCTTAGTGAGATGGTTATGAACTACATAATTTGATTGCTGTTGTGGCCTTTTAGAGAGTTCAACATCCCTATTACATCTTATCTACTACTGTCTTCTAGTATAGGGTGCCATGACCAGACGTAGCCGCTCCTCTGGGAGCAGCTGCAACAAGAATAACAGGGACTGCATATTTTTATTACTGTTCTGAATCATTGGAGATATTTTTTTATCATCTCAGTAGTCTTGCCTTTAAAGCTTCATTGATTAAATAAATGTTTACAGCAGTTACTTCTGTTGTTTTCATAACACTCCACATTTACAAAATGTCTAAAAATAAACGCTTAGCTATGGGTAGAAGCAGTCATTCCCACTTAACGTAATCAATATCCATTTTACATCAGGGAATACATAATCTTGAGTGGCTAGTTGTAACTTATTATTAGATTTGGAAATCACTTCCTGTGTGCTTTCCATGTGCTGAGTACTGTCCTCTGGGTTGATAAGGTAGCCCTCACTGAATGCATTTTTCTACTTGATCCTCAAAGCTGACACTTTTTGAAAGTTAGGTTTTGTCATTATTCCTAGTTTAGGGATGAGACAACAGAGGATTCTCTCAAGTAACTGAACAACTTGATCAACCTTGTCTTCATAAGTGGTGGTGATGAGACATAGTCCTAGTCTATGGCATTTAAAAAAATAAGCTCTTTTAAGTCTAAAGCTCCATCTTCTAACCTTTACACAGTTACAGTTCAACACCCTTCTATTGGCATAATGTAGGAGAATTGCAAATATTATGTATGCATGCATGTGTACAAATTTACCTTGAATATAAAATGGGAAAAGATTGTGTTTAACTCTTCAACTGTAAATGTAAATAATAAATCTTGAAATTGAAAAATTAGGTTAGTATCTCTAAAAATAATATAAAACCAGATATATCCTGATAAGTACATAGGAACTTAAAAAAAATATTTCTATCATTTGCCCTTGTTAGTGATAAGACTTTCAAGGTTTCTTAAACAAGTTCCTTTCTATAGTTAGACCTGGTTTAGAGTTTGCTCACGTTGCCACCAGGTGGCACCCTTCTGCTGAGTCCAATGGGTAAAAATATTTCCTAAAATGTTTGACAGTTCTCTAAGCGCCAAAAAACCAAACCCAACAACAAAAAAGCAAACAAACAAAGAAATTAAACAAGAAAAAACGATAACCTTACTTTCTGAAGTATGACTAAAAAGTGTATTTTTATAAACAACTGTTTGGCTGCAGAGACAGCATTAGTTATGCATAAAAATCAACAACAACCGTAAAACTCAATCTAGTAGAAATCCACTCTCTTACTCTCTTACATAGCAGCCTATTAATGAAATGGTTCATGAACAAAATTGGAGTTAAATAGATAATACATAAAATGCCTTTTGTAAAATATTAGGGTACTTTTGACTTTTAGGTGATATTAACCTAAAGTTTTCACAAGGAAATTAGGATCCAGTATTTTTACTTCAACTTTGGTCTAGCACACCTGATTAGAAATTTCAAATGAATACTTAATGAATTCATAAAAAAGTTATTCTTCCATGTTTCCCTAATATATAAACATCTCATAATTTAGTTTATATTGTTTTTAACACAGAACTTCAAAGAAAGCTTTTAGAGATCATGTTAAGAAACTTTAATAGAAAATGTATTACTTCTCAACATTCAATATAAAATACATAGTATCTTATTGGTGGAAGAATTCTATATCATTTGGCTATAAAAGACATTGGATACAGGTGCTGTGCAGATGTTTTTATAACTTGTTGTTCAGTCACCAAGCTATATTTGACTCTTTGTGACCCCATGGACTGCAGCATGCCAGGCCTCTCTGTCTCTCACCATCTCCCGGAGTTTGCCCAAGTTCATGTCCATTGAATCAGTGATGCCATCCATAACTTAGGAGATATTATATACATTTCCTATCATCCTTTAATTTCTTATTACATATATTATATATATATATGTCTTACTGCAAATATATATAACATTTTATCTGCTGAGTTTAGAACACACCACAAAATGTTCATTGCTTATAAGCTTCTGATCTCTCTGTTTATTTCAAGGACTGAGCGAATTGCACATTTAAGACAGATTAAAGTATATAAAAACAAGTTAAAGAAAATTACATTATTAAATATTAATGCTGCATTATCTTATGAAGAGCGTTGTATTGGAAACAAAACACTGGAACCAATTTCTCCCAGTCTAAGTAAAATTAAAATTATTTCCAAACTTTGGTTTCTTGAACCATTTATGATTATATTATGTTTTAGACTTTTAGTACTTATAGGCATATTTTAAATTTATTTATAGGTTATCATGTAGCATACATGGCATGCTA